TATATACAGTACAGTATATATACAAAAATTGTATTAATTAGAACAGATTTTAAATATTATATAATACAAATCAAGCTAGCTTAAGCTGGCTTGAGCTGGCTTTTTAAGCTAAGCCAAGCCAAGCCAGCTATTTCTATCTCTAAATATAACTTTCCATTTATTTTGCTAAATAGTATCTATTAAACCATAAAAAAATTTCAAAAACACTAATGAAAATCTATCTTAAAATTCATTTAAAAAATGTGGTATTTCTAATTTCTCTTTATTAATATGGATTTCATTTCTAGAGCACCAAAATAAAGTTGCTAAAGCTTCACCAACTTGTTTCGGATTTTTTTTGATTATGTTGCAGAATATTTCACTTTTTAAAAATTTTTTTATATTGACTTTTTAGTCTAAATGCAATTTTTATACTTAAAAAACTCAGTGAATTTGAAATTATAAATTTTTTTTTTACACTTTGTTTTTTAGATATATTATTTTTGTTGTCTCTAGTTATATTGTCATCTGATTCTTCATCATTAATTTCTTCATGATTCTTCGATTGAATAAGGTTTAACTTCGCAAAAAATCTTATAATTTCTTTAAAAATTTCATAAAGAAGAAGATACTAAATATCTTTTCCTACAGATTCAGATATATCATTTACCCACTTTGCTATAAATTGAAGTGATTTTGCTGAATCATTATTATGTTGATCTATACAATCGAATGGAAGAACAGCACCCCATCCTTGTCATATAAATAAATGTCCACCTTTAGATGAAAAATATGACTAAAAAATATATTATATACATCTGCTATTAGTGGACTGTTTAACGAAATTATTATTTTGAAACACAGTGCACACTTTCAATCTATTACAAACTACTTGTATATTTTAATTGCATATGTTCTATAAATGTTCTTTACAATAACTTCTATGAGTAAATATATATTTATCATATTCACAAAATAGACACTTTTTTTGACAAATTAAGGCCTTATTAATACTAGTTTCTAATTTTGAGAACTATGTAATTGTTTGTTATCATAAATGAAATGACTTGCGCAAATATCTAATGAATTTAATCCATATTTTTTAATCCTATAATTTCGCTTACTGTCTCAAAATTCTATACTCTACCAAGTTGCCTTAATGGCTTAGATACATTATACGAACATCATTGTAGTTTTCTATCTAATTTATCTATTATAATGCATATTTGATTTATATATTTAATTTTTGAAGAACTAAGTTTGATATTTAATTCACTTTCTTGATGACTATCACTTTCTTATAAAGATTCATTATTAGATATCATATCTAATTCTAGTGCTAGCCAGTTTATGTTAACTTCTTCTATCTGCTCTTGTGTTGCTTGTGATGTTAAATTAGCATATTTTTTTGGCAATCTCAATAGCTGTTTTATCAAAATGAAGATTATATAAATTACTATATATATCACTTCTATTACTTATACTATGCGCAGATGATAGCAAAGGTGTAGTTGATTGTTTAAAACTTTTAGAATTATTTCCAACACTGACATCATCAAGAATTTCGAAATTCTTATCAGGATCATTATAAGAAACCTCACCACAAATATTCATAACACCCAGACTATTTATAATCAAATAACATATATTTAATAATAAATGACCAAAGAAAATAAATACAGTAAGAAAAAAAAAATTTACCCAAAATAACAAAAAAATTTTAATACAATATGTGGTAACTAACAAACAAAAGTCTAATATAGCAACTGACAGAAAAAAGTTTGTGGTATGTAATAATTAACAAACCTAGCAACCAGTAAAACAAAAACTTAATACAGTAATCAAGAAATAAAAAAGAAGTAACCACAAAAAAAAAAATCTTGATGCAGTTAAATAAATATGCAAAAAAAAATAATAATAATAGTGATCAAAATTGTTAATCCAAATCGATACAATAGTTTTTTTAAATAATAAGAGCTTTAACCATTCAAACAATTATAATAGCCTGCATTAAAAAAAAATAATAATATAAATTTAGTAACTGCAACAAAAGTTTAATGAATTAGAACATAAGTAAAAAAAAAGAAACAAAAAAAATAATATAAATAACTAACTAATATAGTAGTAACTAGAGTCTTGCAATTATTTAAATAATTATGATGGCTCACATTAAATAAAAAAATATAATATAAGACAGTTTAATAACCAGAAACAAGAAGTTCAATGAATTAGAAAATAAGTAAAAAAAAAACTACAAAAAAAATAATATAAATAACTGATCAATAAAATAATTCTTTCAAATAACTAGAGCTTTGCAATTATTTAAATGACTCTAATAGCCTGCATTAAATATTTTAACGACAATAACAAATAAAACTTCAATAAAATTCTTGTGCAGCATTTTTTACAGCTACTTCTCTTCAATTCAAGATTCTTTAAAGACTGGTCACTCTACAAATAGTAGCTTTATTGAGTAGTAAAATAGAAGGCTAAAGCTTACATTTTTAACAAATGCAGTACTAATTTGTTTTAAAAGTAAACTGGTAATTTTGACTTAAAAGAACAAAAGTGTCATTACTCATAAGAAAATTGATGTGCATACGACAAAAATTTAATATAGAAGTACAGAACCCTCCCGGT